GGCGCAGTGGTTAAAGTACAGCACTGCAGGCTACTTTAGCTGACTGCTAGTTTTGCAGTTCGGCTGTTCAAATCTCACCGGCTCAAGGTTGACTCAGCCTTCCATCCTTCCGAGGTGGGTAAAATGAGGACCCGGATTGTTGGGGTCAATATGCTGACTCTGTAAACCGCTTAGAGAGGGCTGAAAGCCTTATGAAGCGGTATATAAGTCTAACTGCTATTGCTATTGCTACCCATTCTGCTTTACAAATACCTTGAGATTCTCCTTATATTGATTCTGCTATCTCTCCCCAACTCCAATATATTGCTCCATTCCAGAAGATTGCTAACAGAAAATATTTGCAAATTCTATAATTCAAAATGGGAATTGAAAAAAAAAATCTTGCTGTCCTTCTTAAAACCTTACATGCAGTAATGCCATTAAAGCAGAATAATGATGTTTGTCTAGTACAGATTTTCTGAAGCAAGAAGTTGGTGTCAAATAGTTCTTCAAAGACTACAGCCTCAGCCAGTATTGCCAGAAATATCTGGACGGCCCTGGTATGGACATATTTCTTAATTATCTACATTGCCTTCTTCCACAGGTATCAGACGTGTTCAGGATCTCTGCAAAGTTCTTCGACTTCCTTCTCTGTTTGAAGATACTGCTGTGTCCTATTACCAGAAGGCAATCAAATGCCCATGCTTTGCTTTTGTCAGCTTAGAGAAGAAGGAGATAATTATAGGTTGCTGTGTTTTTGTGACCTGTAGACAGCACAACTGGCCCTTGACAATGGGCACTGTCTGCTTGCTCCTTTATGCAGACAAGGAACTGTTTGCCAGAACCTACTTGCAGTTCTTGAAGGAATTGGCACTAGATGTACCAACTCTGAGCTTGATCGATCTTGTGAAAACACATCTCAACAGGCAAGATGGTTTTTTAATGCTCTTTTCTCATAAATGTCTGACTCATTAATGTGCAGTTGTTGAAGAGTTATGGATGGAATTAATTCTTATTATTTAAGCTTCAGTATATTGGTTCTAAGAAAGTTCTATAGATTGGAAGTGCAGTGTAACCACTTTGCTGAAACTAGATAGAGCTGATGCATAGAAATATTTCTAGTGAACTTGCAGGTTTTCTCATATTTTGGAAGTGGAGGTCCGCTTTCAGGTATTTAAATGTTCTTGTCAGAACTGCCTCACCTTGAACCTCTCAGTAAGAATGATCCTTAACTCCATTTATTGAGAATGGTATAGTTTACTAGAAGTCAAGTCCATTACAGTACTTATTTAGAGGTTCAAGCTGAGACATGTCAGAGAGTTCTCCTAAACCAGGGTTGTCAAACTCAGTTTCCTTGAGTGCCGCATCAGGGTTGTTTGACCTCGGGGATGGGATAGGCGTGGCCAGGGTGGGCGTGGCCAGCTCGATGTCACTCATTTTGAGAGTCCCTGTGGTGGCCTGAGCACTCTGCCAGCAAAAACAGATTCCTGAGCTCGGTTTTCAGCTGTGACAACCCTCTGCCAGCAAAAATTGAGGGGCAATTGCAGGGGCACTGCAGGCTGGTCCTTCACTGTTTGCAGGGCAGCCCCTCGGGCCAGATCTAAGCACCCTGCAGGCCGGATTCGGCCCGTGGGCCTTGAGTTTGACATCTCTGTCCTAAATCAATCTGCCTTCTGAAAAGGTGTTACATGTGGCTGGTTTTGCTATTCCTAATATATGATTCAAATGTAGGTTTCAGAAAGTTACTAATAGTTAATCTTCTGACAAATTTCAGCTTTTACTTGTCTTTTGCATTTTTGAATGCAATCTCATATCTGTCTGTTTGAGTGAATTTTTATTATGTTTGGGTGGGAAATAGAAAAAAGCTCTTATTAAGGAGTCTTCAGAGGCATGTATGTGAGCTCAGGATGTATATTTGAAGTGAACATTTTGTTTTGAATTGACTGTTCTGGATGTATGTTATATTCTGAGCAGGAAGCATGGAATGGTACGATTTAGGCATATCCAAATATTTATTCCTTTCTAAACAATGATCCCAAGAATTAAAATAGTAAAATAGCTCTAGTAGCGATCTAAATAATATTTAAAATGGGAATGATATTCTTAGAATAACTTGCCTCCAGAAGTTGTGAATGATCCAACACTCTAAGTTTTTAAGAAGAGATTGGACCACTATTTGTCTGAAATAGGGTTTCCTGGCTGAGCAGGGGGTTGGACTAGAAGACCTCCAAGGTCTCTTCCAACTATTCTGTTCTGTTCTACTCTTTAAAAACACACCAACCTGAAAGGAAGGAACAGGTACCATAAAATATCTGATGACAGAGCATTAGCAGGCAAAGCCTTGATTCATTTAATCAGATGTTTTTAAAAATAATTTCCTCAAATTATACAAATTTAAATATTGTAGATATTTCCAAAAGTATAAAATTAAAGCAAAAACATGAGCTGTGTTGATAGGCTTTTCCATATCCCTAATATATTTTCTTCCTTTCAGCTTTAAGCTTTTCCAGGAATCGTCCAGCATCCCAGCCAAATTTCTGGAAGACAAGGAGAAGCTGTTGGCAAGGACAATCCAGATAATAGAGCTTGCCAGTGAGACGTGGCTGGTGACTGGTCGGCACCCCATCCCCATTGTGATGGCAGCAGCCTTCTTGGCATGGCAGTCTTTGCGACCTGTTGATCGCCTCGCTTGCACCCTTGCAAAGTTTTGTAAGCTTGCTAACATGGACATGCCACGGCCAGCCCCACAAAGACTGAAGGAATTGCATAATATCCTCCTTCAGATGGCCTCTCAACTAGGTTGGTTGCGAGGGCTCAAAGTGGACCGGAGGACTGTGTCAAAATACGTTGGAGACTTGCTGCAACATCGCCGTGTGCTTCTACGGGCGGCTTTCCGTGTGGTGGATACCACAAAAGACTACGAGCCTGAGAACTTCACGGCACCATCAGACCATCAGCCTACAAAAGCAACCGTTGCTTTGACGGAAGAGGCTTCTGTTGCTGGGAAGAAGCGGATGCCTTTGCTTCCCCCTTGTATCCTGTACCCAACAAAGAAGCCTCGACCCAGCAATCCAGACCCTGAAGGTCCAGCCGTCACAGGGGATGAGCCCATTTTAGACAGTGAGATCGAACAATACATCCGGACTCCAGAAGAAACGGAACTGTATAGCAAAATGCAAGTTCGCCTGTGCTAGTGAAGGTATTTAGTGAGGGTTAAAAGCCTGCAGTCAGTGGCAACAGGTTGGGTTTCTTATATTTATAGTTCATAGTCCCAGACATATTTTTATTTGGAGATTAGATGAAATCCTTATGTTCAGGAACGAACAACCTTGTATCTTAATGGTCTTCTGCAGTCTGTTTGCTTTGTATGCATTAGTTTGGGTTTTCTGAATTCACAGTACCAACAAAATATAGAAGGTTATAATAAAGATTGGGGAAAGCAGCGCTAAAACATGAGCTTTAGGGGTTTTTTGCTAGATGTTGGAATAAACATAATTAATAATTTTCTTAAAAGGCAGCTCTTTGGCCTAGATGTTTGTTGGTGAACACACTAATATGGTTCTGCTACATTTTTAGTCCTGAACATCAGAAAAAGTTGGATTTAATCTTACTACACTGAAGCTTAATGAGCTGCATCCGATACACTCCTGGTTTATTTTGCTTGCTATTTTTTGAATTGGATTGACCTTCTTTCCAGTTCAAACATTGCTTTGCATGTTATTTTAGAAGTTTCCCTTGTGAGTCTGGTAACACTGAAGGTAAACATTCAGTGGACATAGGCTCTGCAGTCATTGACTGAGGTTGAAAGTGATATAAGTAGTTTAGAGCAGGGCATATTGTGATTCACATACCTATTTATCTGGGGGGGGGGCAAGAGGAATAAGCATGATCATGAATGCCATGATGTCATCATGCAAATAAGCTAATTATCATACGTATAAATGGGATGAACTCAGCATATCCCTTTAAATCTTATGAGTGAAACTCCACTTTTCAGCTTCTGTTTTCCCCTCTTGTTATTTGGCTAGTACTTACAACTTGTGTTTGACTTCAGATATATATATAAGCTGAAATAGGAAGATTTGAGATGAATTGGCCCAGTTGGGATGATAAAACACCTTTTGAATGGGTGCAGAAGTTGGGCTTTTCCAGCCCTCATGAATAGTAGGTGGGAGAAAACCATTCATTAAGAGTGTGCAGGAGATTTGCCTCCTATCCCCAGAATCTGAGATGACCAGTGTAGTTGCTTGAATGGCTGTTTACCTCCCACAGATCTTTTAAGTGTTGGGTAAACGAGTCCCACTGCTTGGAATCAGTTTAGAAGTTTGAAATATTAAAAGAGTGTAGGTTGGGATGGCAAAGCATGGGTGGAACATAAAAGCAATACCTAGTTCATTGGATATTGCAGTTCTTTTAATATATTAAACAAGAAACATCTTCTAAAAACAGTTCATTTGTATAAAATGCAAACACAACAAAAAATGTATTAAATGCTTTCTTTGGCACGGCTGTCTCTCAAAGAGCTCTGATTTTGATATGTCATTTGCTCAAAATGTAAACCAACAAAAGAAAGGGTAGTTATACAAAGTTTTCCCCAATAATAATATTTCATTCTAGCAAGCATATATAACAAGTTCAGCATTGCCAATATCATGTGGGTTGTAATATTGCCATATAAAATAGTTAAGGCTCTATTAAACATCATACATATGAAAACCAAGAAGGTTGGGAGAAATGACCTTTTTCAAATAAGGAGGATTAAGTGCTTTTATGGCTTTTCATGGCTATTGCTTTCCAGAAGTCTTAGGAAATTTCAAGGTTGGCCTAAGGCTTGTGAAACCACACAGCCTCTGCGGTTCTGTGGAGGTAGGTTTTGTGGAATAGGTTTTCTCTTTTCTGGCAAGGAGGGCTGTGAAAACGTGGCCCTTTTGCCCTCTGAACAGAGTGAAGAGTTTCTCTTTATCGTTTTAAACAGGCATGGTATACATCAGCTTAAATGAGCTAATTAAGCATTATGGAGCAGTAAAAATAAAATCTACACATAGACACACACATGGACAAAGAAGAGATTTGTGGTATTTTTGCATAGAACAACTGAAGGAATTTTTTTCCAACTTGGATGAAAATGCTGTTACAAGCGCTGCCCTTTGGGTATTTAGCAGTAAATACCACTGTTGATAACTTTATGTCAATCCTGGAAATAATACTAAGTCGATACTGCGAGTGTTGCAAGGGAGATTTCTGGGAATTGCAAGAATCCTGGCCAAAGATTTTCCACTGGAATGGAAAAACTCCCAAGGAATATTGGGTGCTGTGACCTTGGACTTGGTGGACTCTCTCCTTCAAATAAGGAATTTTGCATTTCTCCAATATTCTGTTCTAAACAGCAGTCTCCTACAGGTGTAATCCTAGTTCATAAATCCAACGCAAAAATTATGTCTGTCTCTGTAAACAAAACAAGGCAATGATCCTAAAGACCTAGCAAAAAAAGCCAACACCTTCCCTCAGATGTAGCAAAAATATTGTAGCCCATTACCTTGCTACATCCTTCATAAACATGGGTGCGGTATTTGCTTTTGATTGTCCACAAAATGTTTCTTGCTGGTTGTTGGCTAGTACATGAGATAATTGCACAATGTACTCTGAAAGGTTGATTTTAAATGAGCAACATGCATTTCTCTCCCCCTTTTACCCCAGTTGGGTTACATGCATTCTTCCCAATACTTGGAAGCTCAGCTGTTCATCAACAATCTTTTTGTTGTTGTTCCTTTCAATTCCAATGAACTGATGTTATCGTTTTGACATGAATAAAAAAGCCTCCACCGAGTGCATTGTATAAACAAATATATGCCCCATTTCATAGGCCAAACCCTATTTATGAGGTTCATGCTATTAAGAACAAGTATCTGTACTTTAGAACTATTTTTCTTTTTTAAAAAGGCACCAACTACTTATGTGGGAAGGTTTGTTTGATTGTCGTATTCACACACCATACTTAACCTCATAATTAGTAATATATAAGAAAATAATCTAACCGAATCAATGTTAATGCAGTATGCTTCCTAGTATGCATCCTATTATATTTGGAAAATTAAAAAAAAATACAGAAGGAGGGAGCAAAAGTTATTTTTGTTGTTATTAAGACTTGGATGTTTAAGACCAAATAGATTGGGGAAAGAAAAATTAATTTGGTCTTTCCTGGCCTGGTATCCTCTAGAAACACTAAGATTCAACTAAAGGAATCTCAAAGCAGAATTATCCTTCTGTAGACTTTTATTTTATGCCAGAAATGACAGAGAATATCACAGCTTCCATGGAAGAAGGGATTTCTTAGTCTGCACTGTTATCACTTAGTATGTTGTCCAGTTCCTCCAGAGAAAAGGATACAGGGTCTTCCTTAACTTACAACCCTCAATTGGGACCAGAATATTTATTGCTAAGGCAGTCGCTAAGTGAATCATGCCTGCTTTTATGAGCTTTGTTGCCCTGGTTTTAACAATCAGAGGAACAAAGCAAATCATTGCCGTTAAATGAACCACACAGTTGTTAAGAGAATCCAGCTTCCCTCACTGACTTTGCTTGTCGGAACCTGAAGAAGCTTCTTGGATGAGAAGCAAAACATCTTCAAAGAAAACCAAAGAAAGTCTTGTTGCCTCTTGAAAAAGCACCTTTGGGACAACCATGACCGGAAGACTGAGAATCTCCATAGATATGACCCAGGGATGCTACAACTATCGTAAATATATCCCAGTTTTCAAGCCCATTTTGCCCATAGAGAGGGCTGAAAGCCCTATGAAGCGGTATATAAGTCTACTGCTATTGCTATTGCTATTGCTATATGTCCACGGGGATACCTGAGGGTGAAGATTGGTCATAATGTACTTTTTTCCCACTGCTGTCATAACTTTGAATGGTTGCTAAATGAATGGTATAAGTTGACTACAGTATGTCCATTTTGAATTAGTTTTCCCTCTGTCTTATTTTTTTCAACAACAAAAAAAAGATACTATCATAATTCCCTTTAAGCCAAGGCAGGAATCCCTCAACCATTGAAATGCTAGAAATATGACAACCTCACAAAGTAGCAATAGCAATATAGCAATAGCAGTAGACTTATATACCGCTTCATAGGCCTTTCAGGCCTCTCTAAGCGGTTTACAGAGAGTCAGCATATTGCCCCCAACAATCTGGGNCTTTATCAGATTTTGTAAGCAAGTTGCAAACCCTTCAGTTACAAAGTCAGTAAGATCAAAGAGGAATGAACAAAGGATACATTGTTTCAAAAAAACTCCAGACTCTGGCTTCCAAATGGCAGATTCAACTTTTTCATACTTGTCTCAAGCTTATGGAAAACAAGAATCTTTAATTGTCTTTGGAGGAATTTAATAACAAATGGTAGGAAAAATTTGTTAAAATAAAAAATAGGATTTTAATTCAAGCCAAAAAATAAGGTGATAAAAAAATAGAAGGGGAAAAAAATCAATCCGTTCACTTCAAGTGGAGAAACAGGAAGCGTTACAGTCACTTCAATCCACAAAATATTGTTACAAGAAAAAGCAAAAATTTTCCAAGGCAGTCCAATAAGAATTAAATTCGCCGCTTTATTCTTTTACTTAAAGGACTAATTTGTCTTTTAAAAAAAAGTTTCTTTGGGCAATCTTTCTCAGAATAAAAAAAAACCTCACCCGATGGACTGGAGGCTGCCTGTTTGCCGCCGGCTTGAAGCGCTTCCCTTGGGTCAGTCAGGGACTTTGTGATGTCCCTGAGACCAGCAAGGCTTTGACTTCCTGTTCACCATCTCTACGGGACAGTTTAGGTCCTACTGGACCATCCAGTGGCAAAAGTGTCAATGGCGATCTCAGACTATCGACACCGCATGATGTGTTGTTGCGACGTTGGCTCCTCAACTGGGAAGTTAGAATTTTGATGATCTGGCATAAATATCTACTGTACTTTTATATGCTGATGTTTCCAGATGTGTAAATGCTGAACGATGTCCTTAAATATCTTTTTTTGCATTTTGTAAAATGTTCCTTGCCTGAAAGGGAATGGTGTGATCATACACACATCAAAATGGGAATAAAGTTTTAGGTTGTGTTGATTGATTTTAATAGCATGTAAATTCAGCTAATCCTGTATTTCATACCAATATTTTAACAACCAATGACCTCTCTTCTTCACACTGCAAACCTAATATAGAAATTGTAGAAAATAAGATTATGGATGTGGATGATCAAAATCATCCTGATTTGATGATACTGAGAACATTTTGTTTTCTAATTTCCTCTGCTTTTACATTTTTGGATTGAAACTTCCATGCATATTTCAAATTCTATTATTTTAATAATCTACTGTTAATGGAACAGTTGGATTTGAAGAAAGTCAAAGGTTTTAGGATTTTTTTTAATGAGTTTTTTTTACAATTTGACAACACAGTTAATTCTAAATAATTGTATGAAAAGTAGTTACAGTTTTTTTTTAAAATCCTGCACTTAAAACTATGACAACATCCTGATAAAGGTGCTTTAAAAAAAATCCTTCATTGCCGTATCAAAAAATGATCCTTTGCTGTAAAGTATTCCTGATAGGATAGACTGAGCCCAATTTGGAAAGTAATTGTAATGCTAAGTCATTGCACAGGAAGGAACTGGATTATCTGAGCAAACAGTATTCCTTGAATTAAGGGGAAGTATTTGTTTTAGTACTATGACACTATTTAGTAAATATTTCACAAGATAGTTTGCGTTTCCAAAGATAGCAACATAGTTGCTTCATTTTTACAACTTTTAAAATATCTGGCTGAACTATTGTCTACATTCCAAAAGTCGACATACACATTTTAAAATAAACTAAGCATTTATTGTGGATTTCATGGAGTTGAGTGCATTAAGACATACTTTAGTTACTGCTTGCATACTACTTCTGGCTCTATTTTTCCCTATTATAGTAAGACTTGGAAAAAATAAATCTATGCTCAAATCAGATTTATTTAGTATTTAGTGTTAACTGTCAGTGTAATCACTGACAGTGTGTTGGTGTGTTAATTTTTCATACATTTCTGGATTACTATGCAGCATTAGCCAGTTGTGCTATAGGGGTTAAGGCTTGAGACCAGGAGAAGTGAGTTCTACTCTTATTACAGGAAAAAAAACCTAGCTGGGTGATCATAGGCCAGTCACATGCACTCAGCCCTAGGCAATGACACTTAACAAAAAACTTCAGTAAGAAAGCTGCCAGCACTTACCCGGAACTTTTTTCCTTCGTTCTTTGTTTCTCTTCGGAAACATTGAACGGTGATAAATTCGTTGCTGACTGGATACTGTAGTGTACCGGAAAATGAATGTGTTTCAGGGAAAAGTCCCCCCCCCAACTGGTTTGTTTCCGGTTTGAGCCGAATTAAATAAAATGGAGTGACGGTGCTTCTTTTCGGCATACCTGGTCCTCTGACTCGCAATAAGGTAGGCGAATGCCCTACAGCGGCTGCTATAGGTCGGTCTTCCCTGACCATCTGCGCTCGGTGTGAGGACTCCCAACTCCCTTAATCCCCAGCGTTTCCGGGACCAGAGGGGTATGAAGCGGGAGGGGGGGATGTCGCACGATAGGGGTCTTCGAGCAAGTAACTTGGTGGGCTCCGGCTTAATTAAAAACCATTGCGTAGAATGCACATTGCGGCCTTGGCGTCTCAAGATCCCTAGGCAGCCCCAGCAATCTCTCTTTCTGGCTGTGGTGATTTTTGTTTCGATTGCAAAAGGTTTTAGGCCATTTAGGTCCTCTGACTCTGTGGCCTGGGTTTCCTCTTTGCTTGCCACTAACAATAAAATTTCATAATCAAAACGTTTAAAATTTCTAAAGAGAAATTTCCTGACAGAACAATTAGTCAGTGGAATGTCTTGCCTCCAGAAATTGTGAATGCTCCAGCACTGGAAGTTTTTAAGAAGAGATTGGACAACCATTTGTTTGAAATGGTGTAGGGTTTCCTGCCAGAATAGGGGATGGATTACAATATATCCAAAGTCCCTTCCAACTCTGTTATTCTGTTTTACCGGACACAGAAATTGGAGAGTAGACGTTTTTAATAAGAGATTGGACAGCCCTTTGTCCAGAATGGTATAGTCTCCTGCTTGAGCAGATGTTTGGACTGAAAGATGTCCAAGGTCCTTTCCATCCCTATTATTCTGAATTCTAGTGATGTTCTGCCTATATATCATGAATGAATTAGAAGATATCCTTCCTGGGATTAGATTGATGCTACCTACCTAGGTGCATGTGCTCGATTGATGCACAAAACCAATGTATGATGCAGCATGCTGAGAAGCACACAATGTGTTGCAAGAATTAATATGTTAACAGAATGATTGACATTGATATTAGTATGTTTGCTAAAATCACAATAACTGATTATATTTTGAAGTATGGAAGTATATATATTTGAAGTATTTGACCATCAAATTGGTCAAATTTACTTTTTCCGAACTTGTAAGTTAATTTCTTAAGATTACTTCAAATATGTAAATTAGACAAGTAGATCGAGGCAGATTTATGGGGGTCATATGAAATATGGGAAAAGTTATGGAGCAAATATGTTAATCAAATCCCAATATTTTTTCAATTGTCAGTTTCAAATAATTCTGTTGTCAGACTACTAAAATGTCCATTCAAAAGAAGTGTCCAGATTGTGGCTCCCTGGAAATTGTGGAGGATTCTCACTACACTCAGAACCAGTTGGTGTGTGCAGATTGTGGCTTTATTCTAACTGAAGGACTTCTCACCACTACATATGCTGATGAAGAACATTTACAAGGTGAATCAAAGAATAACAATGGAACTGAAAACTCCTGGGATCATAAAGTTTAAGTATATTTTGGATACCTGTAATCTACATAGATGAAAGCATCCCTTGTGGCCTTTTATATAAATTTCAAATATTTAAACATTGAACATTAAAAATGTATGAAATGTACACGTATTTTAAAAGTTGTTTGGGGAAATATGATGTTCTTTTTGTCATCTTTCCCTTATAATTTATTTTTTGTCTTTTTAGAAGTGACATATTCACGAAGTACTGGTCAAAGTGAACAGCTGAGCCGCTGCTTGCAGCGAGGTAAATGTTTAATATTACCAGTCAGCACCTTTTGGTGCACTGTACTTCCCATTTGTGAAGTGTAGCTCCTCTCTAAAGTCAAAATCATTCTGTACTTTTAAATTACCTGTATCCTTTGCTAAGGGCAGGGTGATTTCCCATTTCAGATTTCCAGATTTCAGAGCATTTCAGAGCTCATTAAATCCCTGGTAGATAATCTTGAGCTGGTACCAGGCTTCTGCCAAATAGGTAGGCTTTAAATCAGGGGTAGTCAACCTTTTTATACCTACCGCCCANTGAGTCAACCCTGAGCCGGTGAGATTTGAACCGCTGACCTGCTGATCTAGCAGTAGCCTGCAGTGCTGCATTTAACCACTGCGCCACCTTGGCTCTTAGTGTCTGTCAGACCCATTTGTGAATTCTCAGAAGGACTGCGGGGGTGGTTGGGCCACTTTGAAACTCCCATTTTCCAGAAAGAAAATGAGCAAGGATGCTCTTTACCTTATTTAATATTAGCTACTGTATTAACTCATCTTTTGTTCTAAGAACATGGTCATATTTTCAACAGCAAAACACTGCCATTGTCTTCTATGAGGACCCTGTCTGGCCAACAGAGGCACTTCTGGACATAAAGAATATGACAGAAGCTGGCAGCTTTTTCCACAGCCTACCAATTTTCTGTTTAAAGTATTGCTTTGATTTTAAAAAGAATAGGAGATCTTGAAGTTCTTAGGGAACATGTCTATAGGCACGTCAGTCCCAGGTTGAGGTTCCTGAAGCAAAGAGGAGATTCCTAGAAGAAAAGAATCTCATTTGTGGCATATTCTGATCTTTTCTCAACTGGTAACATTACAGATGCAGTGCTACATACTGTACTTGGAACTATCATCAATCCAATAAGGAAATTCTGGAGATTTTTTTTTCCTCTTCAATTGGATTTTTCATATCTACAGGAGGGATTTATTCTTGAATGTGGCATACGGTATGTAAGCAGTGTCCCTATACTATTGGATGCAGAGTAATTAAAATGCCAGCAAACAGAATAATAATAATAAGATTCTTTCCAATATTTCTGGAAACTGCCTTCGAGAAAGGATCACAATGCCTCCTTCATTCAGCTCATTTCTGACGCAACAGATTCAATCTGGGGATTGCTGCACAATTCTGTGAAACGGTTACTGTATTGCAAAGAGGCCTTATTTTTTAACGTAATGTCACACATACATAAAGATAAAGGAAGTGTACCCAAGGTGCTTAAAAACAATATTTCAGAGCTTTCCAAATCCTTAAAGGATTAATGTCATTCAAGCCTGTAAGGCTTTTTTCTTTGCAATTTTAACTCTATTCTAAACTTCTTTTTATGATTCTTTTTTCCCTGTTTGCTGATGCACATGCTTTCCTTCATATAGTGAGGGGTGATGGGATTTCTTTAAAAAAAATATGGTTAACTAAATAATTAGCTTTAATAAAATGATTGATGTGCACATGGGGGAAAAAAACTATTTCTGAAGCAAGAAACTGCTTTACTTTTAGACAGAGGAAAATCTCTCTTATAGGAGAGGGAATCCATGAGTTAAGATGCAGGGCTGCCTTCTGGAGTTTTTATAACCGCCCATAATAAATTTGTTGCCATTTTTAATCTGTTAATTAAAACATCCCACTCTTGTAAGCGCTGGGCTTTGCTTATCCCTAGGTAAGAACAATTAAATTGTGTGTCATTTTTTTCAATGAATCAAGCTTACTAATTAAACAGTGCAGCAACTTCATCTATTTCAGAGGCTTCTATGTTAGCTGCGTCATGCCTTTCATGAGGCTTCATGGGGCATATTTTCCACACAACTGTTAAACAGGCCTCAAGGCTTACTTCCAAGTTTGAACGTGAGGAGTGACTCGACTTGGAATCACAGAAAAGGATAGAACTGTCTGAGTTTTAGTTCAGTCTGTTCCCTGCCTAACATCCAAAGTTGGAAGTCAGCCTTCAGGCCTGTTTAGCAGCGGTGTGGCAAATGGGCACCAAGACCCTTAGCAATGAGAACCCAAACTGGTAATCTATTCCAATTCAGTTCCACAGCAGGTAACTTGAAAGGTGGGCTTGTTGATAGCTTCTGCTTGAAAGTGCTATTAAAAAGATTTTATGCAAAACATGTCAAGCTCAGAATAGCTGTTTCTGAACATTATCTGAAATATTTGCTCTAGAGCAGTGGTTCCCAAACTTGGCAACTTTAAGACTTGTGGACTTCAACTCCCAGAATTCTCCAGCTGGAATTCTCCACAAGTCTTAAAGTTGCCAAGTTTGGGAACCACTGCTCTAGAGGTATTTCAACCCTGAAACGACTCTTCTGAATGGAAAACTCTTATAGAGCAGCATTCTGGTAAAATCTGAACAAGCTACTCCAAAGTTGAAAATTGTTCTGAGCTCTTGATGTTTTGCATATCTCTACGGTTAAGCATCTTTGGGCAATGATGCCCAAAAAATCATATTCTCCCCGAGTCCCTTAAGAAAGACTAAAGAAGACTAAGGATTGTCACCTAAGTATGCACCTTTGGACAATTAATAGTGCACCTCATTCTGTCTTGTGGCTTTTTCCTTGACAACTCTACAAATTCATTAGATTTATCAAAATCAAAACTAGATGTATGCATAGCTTTGAATGACTGGGAAGATGACTTCCCTTGTCTCACACAACATGAGTTATTGTGCATAAAGCACGTACAGACTTTCCAATGTGTAGCAAATTTGCCTATACATATGTACACAGTGTATTAGAAGTTTTAGCTTATAGATCACTGTCTTCCTCTGGATGGTGTACAGAAATATCAAGGATATAAAGGGACATGAAAAAGGGAGACCATACAATCACAAGAACAGATGATTGTCTCTTGCTTTGCAACTTTGGCACCTTGGCTGATTGTGGCTTTCTGCCCGTTCTCTGGAGGAAAATGTTCCCTGGCACAAAGAACAGCAACATCACCTAATATATAAGTGAAATGCGCTGTGATTCACAGGACAGGACAGGAACAGTCTCCTTACTCCATCTGCTCAGGAGGATCGGTGGGGAGCATAGTTCTTGCCTACCCATCCCATATTATCTAGGCCTATGTAGTGCATAAGAGTGTTCTCTTCACTGAGTCTGGTAGGCTGTAGCTACAAGGGTAACCTGCAGCTTCCTACCTGAGTTGGTATTGCTCTAGGATTCCAGCTGCAGAGGTCTTTGACCCTTTCCTACACTGTTGTCTCACTCTTCCAGAGACCTGTTTTCATGCTGCTTGCATTGTCAGCACCACTGAGATTAATGTCATACTTGCTGCCCTTCAGGACCCCATTCTGGTTTGCTGCATTGAGCGGGAAGGAGCGCCTCTTAGTCTCTCTTTCTACAGAGGGGTTGGCCTGATGCTTAAGGTTGTCTCTGCTGGTGCTTCTCCTCTGGCCTCGGCCAAAATCTGCAGACTGGGGGCCACCACTGCCATCACTCAAGTCCGACTGCGTCAGGGTGGATTCCAGAGTCACAACTTTCCCTTGGTTCTGATTGTTCAAAGGGCTATTCCGGCTGCTTTGGTAACTCTCTGAATGACTGTTCTGAAGGCTCCCACTCTCACTAGTAGGATGCTCTGAGGAAGGTCCCCGCATTGCCTTCAGGCGCTGATGCTTCCCTTCGCGATAGAGTTTAGTTCTGCTTTTATGATGCCTGGTGCGCCCATGGAGATTGTTCGTATACCTGTTTGAGGGGGTAGTCTTACTGTTAGAAGGCTCTGCTTCCTCATAGCAGGCAGTTGTTACAGGGTTACTCTCTGGCTGGGCAAGGGCCACTTGCAAATTGTTGAGTTTGCAGGGCCCTGGGGTTGAAATTGTGCTGATAGGGGAAGATGAAGACTTAATGGACTGAGCTACTTCTGGATTGCAGCCAATGAAGACCTGTGAGCCATCTTCAACACCTGCTCCATTGTGCCCATAAGCCTGCATAGGTAAAGCATTCCTGTAAGATGGACAACAGGTAAACCATAAACTCTGTACATCTCTGCGCCGGGCACAGTGGTAGATAAAGATGAAAAATCCTAAAGCTCCAGCAGTGACTCCATAGAGGCAACTGAAGACAACTTTCAGGAGGAACCAACGCTGAGATACTGCCATTGCTCCAAATGTCCATAGAGTGAGGTATAGGAAATGGGTGATGACAAGGGCCCAGAGTTGCACCCCTAGCGAATACACACCATCAACATCAGCAGTGTGGGGGCTGGAATTCAGGGTGACTGAAAGCGATCCTGAATCAGTTAATAGGTTGCTACTACCTCCAAAGCGCTGCCTTGTTTCCAAGGGTTTGGGTATTTCTTTGGGATCCTTAGCTCGGCACTGCAGACTGATTCCAGCACATAGGAAGTAAATCCAGGTGATGAGTAGAATGAAAGCTGCAGGCACATAGAATGCTCCAATGCTGGGTCGGCAAGCCAGCCAGCAGCTGGGTGGAGAAAGAAAAGGTTAGCCAAATTATGAATAGCTAACAACGCAGCAACAACTTGGCTTCTTCATGACAAGCATACAATCTCTGGTCTAGCACAACTCACCTGACAAGAGTTACACTAATATCGAAGAAATGTTGGGATAGAATCATTAAAGATGCCAAGAAGGGACAAAATGAAAAGCGAATGACCAAAATTAAAGTTTTCGTTTTTTAAAATTATTCAATTGAATTGTTGAATTGTCCTGTGGCGAGCTGGCCATGGCAAGTTGGCCACAACAAATTAACTGTAGTGAGTTGGCCGGAGCAAGTTGTCCCATTCCATACAACCTCTTGCCTACCTTGACTTTAAGGCAGCCTTTAAAGGGAGACTCTGGAAACTACAGATATGCAGGAGAGGAGACATCTACTGGTGGCAAAAATATTTAAACCAAATGTCTCTATTGAGATAACCTAGAATGCTTGTTAATGCACACTTTGTCCTTTCTGAAATGTGGTAAGATGGCGCCTGAAGGATAAGATTAGACAGGATTTATGGGGCAAGGAAGGGGGGGATTTAGAAGATTTAGAACATCTTTAATCCCCAAGATATTTTCAAAAACTTGAAAACAACACTGGGGATTCCCTCCCCCTCCAGTTTTTGGTATCCACTCATGCAACTGAATACATATGTGCAAGTAGATACAGTGAACTAACAGTAAGGTGGATGGACTCAATTATGGTGTTTATGGGTACAGTGATGGAAGATCTGAAAGACTAGGTTGGGGATAGATCATCCTGAAGATCATCTATCTTTATGATTGTTAAAAGTCAATGCCAACCTGATGACTCATAATCAATGTTCAAGTAGGATCACAATCATTATACCTTAGGATCAAATTGGATGTTGCAAATACTTACTATGAGTCCTGGTCTCCATAATTGTCAATACGAACTGCTGCTGTAATCCCGCAGATGATCAAGGGGATCCCTCCAGCAATCAGGTAGAACCTGGAAAGAAAACCAGAAAATACCATGCAGAATTCATCCTATGAATTAGAGCGAGTCGGGTATCTATTGGAGATACAAGAACTAAATCCTAAACTGGATGCAATAATCATAGATAAGGCTCATACAGCATGAGCCTAATCTTGATCTTGAATTAACAAACAATTCTACATAACCTTCCTTGCAGTTTGCATGCACATTCAATTGGCCCTTTTTCTTTGTGTTTTTGGTATGAGTCGAGTATGGAAACCATCATAGAAAATTTTGCCAATTTTATTCTTATATCATTTGTTCATTTCAGTGCTAATTTTCTCATTTCCTGCCCAGAATCTTAGAATGATTTATAAGGTTTTGAGGGGGGGGGGGAGAGAAAAATTGATGCCCCAACCTGATGCAAGGATCAAACAATGATTAAGCTCCCACCACACACAGGGTCACTATCTCTCATACCCAGTTAAATGGATATACCTATTAACCTACAAAAGAAATCTTAGTTAAATAGGACTTCTTTTGTAGGTTAATCATGGCAACCCTCATCCACTCCCTGCAACCTTCAGGTTCCTTATAACAAGTTCTATAATTCCTACTTCCTTAATACCGTAGCATTGGACGAGGAGCAGGCTGAGTTGGTTCCCCTTCCTGCTGTTGGGGTGCCTTCCAAGTGGATGCCTTGTAGATCACTCGTGCCATCACTGCCATCCACAGAAGAGTAGACAAGGAAGAATAATGGAGAATGATGCCAACCTGGAGAAGGGAGGGGATGTGGAGAACAGACATAGTGGAAGTCAATAAGAGTTGCTACAACTTCCAGGACTTCATTTGTGGGATTATCTATCCCCTATAAGTCTCAGATTTTCCCAGTTGCAATGTATGGCTGTGAAAGTTGGACCATAACAAAGGCTGAGCGCCAAAGAATTGAGGCCTTTGAACTATGGTGCTGGAGAAGACTCCTGCCAGTCCCTTGGACTGCAAGGCGATCCAACCGGTCAGTCCTAGAGGAGATCCACCCTGACTGCTCTTTAGAAAGCCAGATCCTGAAGAGGAAACTCAAATACTTTAGCCACCTAATGAGAAAGAAGGATTCACTGGAGAAGAGCCTAATGCTGAGAAAGATTGAGAGCAAAAGAAGAAAGGGATGACAGAGAATGAGGTGACTGGATGGAGTCACTGAAGCAGTAGGTGTGAGCTTAAATGAACTCCTGGGGATGGTAGAGGACAGGAAGGCCTGGAGGAATGTTGTCATTGGGGTTGTGATGGGTTGGACACAACTTTGCAACTAACAACAATAACGTAAGTCTCAGGAGATATATTGTTCAAAGGTGGGCAAATTTTTTTAAAAAACATTTTAGATAGGTTTTAGTTGTTCCTTAAATTAGGACCATCTGCTTGCGTAGTATAGGGATCTCAAAAAACTTAAGAGGGTCACCAGCTTCCCAATTTTGTCTCAATGGTATAGGAGTTAAGAGCTTGTATGTGTGCATGCACATGGATTTGCCCTTAAATTAAGTGTCCTCAGCTACCTAGCAATGTATCTTTTGTAAATTTGCGCTGTGCACTCAAGAAGGTGATTCTGTTAAGAGTGAAACAGTTTGGTAATGAAGATGGTGGTTTTCAGGGTGGAACATCTGTTCATTTATTCCTTACCAGGCAAATAGGTGACAACATGTCCCCTGCATCTAGAGGTAGGTAGAAAGACAATCAAAAGGGACTTACAGTAATGTCCCAAAGGGGCTTTTCCCAAAAGGCAACTGCATTTTGTCTTTCTTTTTTCCTTTGAAAATGTTTTCAAGAAGTGTCTTGCATGAGAAGCAAAACATTTTCAAAGAAAAACCAAGAAATCCCAGTTGCCTTTTGGAAAAAGCACCTTTGGGACAATTATGACGTGGATAATTGAGAATCTCTATAGATGTAACACCTTACAATAATATACAGTATTTACTGATAAATGGGATACCTATTAATTCTCGGAATTCCAGGGGACATGTGTGATATGATGTGATTTTGAGGCATGGAAGTTTCTGTCTATCCCATGGGGAAGTTGACAGATTTCGAAAAAGGAAGAAAGACTAGTTCCACATTGCGAAGGGAACACTGGTGTGGTCTTGAAGCCATTTTAGCAACTTCTCAGTGTGTGTGAAGAAAACCTGTCAGTGATATCTCATCTGACAAAACCTCCAAGCCCGAATTAATCAGATCCTGCCCTCATACTCACAGCTTGGCAGATGGCTATGTAGTTGGTGAGAGTGATGCCACCTGCAAACACAGCCGATGTCATGGCGATGTGGAAACAAAGATTTAGCAGCATATGCCAGCACTTCTGTGCAATATGAATGTTGCTGAAAAAGAAAAGGGGGATAAGAAAGTTAAGAGATCAAACAATAAAGCTTTGCAGGCAAGGGCCCTACATTCAAGTAAAGGTATCTCTGTTTAAAAGATAAGCAGCCCAGAGTTTGCTTTCTCATGGTGTGTGTGTGGGTGGGGGTGTGTGTGCTGTTATTCAAAGCATACAGAATTGGGTTGGTGTTATTACGGAGAAAAACCTGGGACGTGGTTTCTTCTGGTAGCATAGTATTGTAGCTACCTGTTCAGAAATTCCAGGAAGCTGTAACCTTCAACTCTAAAAGTGATTCACCTGTGATTGATGATGTAGATGATGATGGTGGTAAACAGGCACAGGAGGAGGAGAGCCGTGCAACTGTAAATTACAGGATGTAGCACCTCAGCGGGACTCAGTGAGTCATGCAGGAAGTTGCTCAGCTCCTGTATTTGAGAATGTGTTTCATTAAGGCATAATAATGGGAGGACGACAGATATTAAGGCAGCTTCTATCAAAATCATTCCATTTACAGTTGAAAGGGGTCATGTGGCCAATGCACTGTAGCCATTCATTCTGTCTCAATTGAGTCTACCTCGTATGGTTGCTATTAGGGGGAAATTGGGAGAATTGTGTCCTAACCAATTTGAGATACTGAAATAACTTGTTGCTGACTATAGGGGATGGTGCTCATTTCTGTTTCAAGGCCATTGAGCTGTCCGAAGACATTTTCCCGGTCATATAGCCAGCATGATGTCACAAGCACTTTTACCTTCTCACCGAAGTGGTACCTATTTATCTACTTGCATTTGTGTGCTTTTGAACTGCTAGGTTGGCAGGACCCCTAGGCGAGGACGGGAGCTCACCCTGTCATGTGGAGCTCAGCTTTCGAATCTGGGCGGCTGACATTCTAGCCAACAAGCCCAGCACCTTAAACATTGAGTCACGACGCTGCTCTTGGGATACTGAAGGACAAGCAAAATAAAACTCTATTAAATAATACTATACCTATTAACAATAATATATGCTAACCCTTTGTAAGTATCTATAAGTAGGAAGGTTAAACAGGAATAGACGATTTGGCATATTTTAAATAATTTGGGCTACAATTTCCTTTGGGTTCTATTCACTTCAACAAATAGCAAAAGAAACTCTGGACTAGAACATCTGGAGGTTATCTAGCCTAGCTTAGGAGCAAAGGAAGCTGCATACCATTAGGCATGTACAGTGTGCGGAAAAACGCACGCAAGATCTTTAAGAAATGCATATAAAATGGAAAGTGGTGTTTCTTGCTTTCTTGAAAGAGAATTTGGCAGAAATGTATGTGACATAACCAGGGGCTAAACAGAAATGTAACAGATCGAAGTGCCATGCACCGTCTCCTGCCTACCATCAGCACAGCAGTGTTGCTGAGATGTCGGCAGCTCACAGTGGTGAAGTTAGGTTTCTGAAGGATCAGCTGACAACCTTCTGCTCTCCAGCCGCCATAACCACCCAGGATGTCAAAGTCCCAGAAAGCGGCTGTGCGATCGGTGCCCTGGTCCAAATGCCGCAACGATATGATGACTGGCTCGGTGAGATTACTTACGCCACAGCCATCTGAGGGAGGGAGAACCAGGGGTTTATCAAAGTAGTTCATGGAAGTGCTCAGAACTCAAATTAACTTCAGGAGGTGCTTGTTTGCTCAGATAGGGTTTGCCTAACTGAGGCAGGAGATCATCTGTCTTTTTTTTTCAAGATCAGGATTCCTTCCTCACATCCTAAGAGCTGCTTAAATAAATTACGCAGAGCTCTTGCTCAGCAAGGGAAAGCAAATAAAGTTTGAGTCTTCTGAATTAAAAACAACAGCAATATAAAGCACCAGCCTTTAGCATCCACTTTATTCCCAAGGATGTCACACAGAAGCCCTTGAGTATTTTAGAGAGAAAAAACAACACAATGCTTATGGGTCCTTCATTAGGAAATGAGAATATAGCAATAGCAGTTAGACTTATATACCGCTTCATAGGGCTTTCAGCCCTCTCTAAGCGGTTTACAGAGTCAGCATATCGCCCCCAACAACAATCCGGGTCCTCATCTTATCTTATCTTATCTTATCTTATCTTATCTTATCTTATCTTATCTTATCTTATCTTATCTTATCTTAT